GACTCAATAGAATATGAGTGAACTGCAGTTCCGAATTGGCTAATACACACACAAATACACTCGAGCAAAATTAACATAAACGCTATGAAAAATAATTAACAAAACCACTCTATATAGATCTTGGTAGTTAAATTTATTTTCCTTAATTTAATCCATATAAGAGGTAAGAAAAAGCCTGATAGTCTTTTTGGCCTAGGGATAACGTTTGACTTTTACAAGAATGACACCTATCTCTGATGATTTCCATCATATAATGGACGAAAGCTCAGCAAACTTTTACTCGAAACGAGGGACGAAGTCTCGTGGACTGCGTCAACATGAATATCGTATGAAAACCAAACGGCTGCAGTACAACGAGGTTCATCCGTCCTCATCTGGTAAGATCGACTAACGAATCCCTTCTTCGTGCACTTTTATACGAAACGAAGGTTCTCCAAAGAATTTATCTCACTAGATTTACCGAAGACAAGTTTTTCTCCTTAACTAATTTTTATTGTAGGATCTCATGTGAGTCCAGTGTAAAATATTTGCTGTTTCTATCCTTTTGTGTTATTACCTGGATCTAAATTGTTATTATTTTTTTCTTTTTTAAATATTACTTAACATGATTTAGTATCTATTATATTTATATGCTATAGTATTATAATAATTGCTTTTGTTATTTAAAACGACAAGGTGATTTCGTTGAGGTTATCCTTCACAGAAGCGCGTCTTTGGTATATTTTCTCAAAATGCCCTACCTCTTTAAGTTTTATTACCATCAACCAGATCGTTTACCCTCTCTTCAAGTTCGTAGATACCGCGCTTATGATTCAAATTTTGATAACCTGGTGCAAGAGGTTAAATCCATTTTTCAAATAAAAAATCCGACCATGTGCTGGTATGGTAAGTGCATTTGTGAAGCTACTTGGAATAATTCTATCATTTATTTTTTATTTTTCAAATGTGAATGCATTTTTTAAAATCTGTTGAGCATCTAATAGTAATGCGATTTTCATTAATTTCATCCGGCTTGCTTATTAATGGCTGACCATATCCCTCGTTGCCTTCATCTTAGATGGCGAAGATTACGTCACCATTTTATCTGGAGTTGAACTTTTGGATGCAATAGAGTTCTTTGAGAAGAAATCTAAAATAGGCTGCGAAGACTCACCGGTACCCCTATATATATCATCCGAGGACTCATTTTACACTTCATCCCTTCCAGTTTCACCGGTCATTTCTCGCACTTCTAGTGCTGACCCCTCTTCTCTTAGAGCTTCTCTCTTGTGCCAGTTCGATCCACGATTGATTGTCAATGTAGAGAATCATATGTGTAAGCAATTTTTTACTGATCAGAAAATGGAATGATCCCACCCCAAATTGGGAAGCTGTTGAAGCTAATGGTGATGGGCACTCAGAATCAACTCGTGCTCCTCAAGCTTCACGTGGTTAATCTTTCCTCATTTGTGTGCTAGACGAAGTCAATGATAATCTTGCTACACTAACTGATCGATGTTTGTGTGGCAATTAATCATGCTCATCAGATTTATCGACATTTTTAAGGGCTCATTTTACATTTACTTTGTTATTGATGTTCTGTTTGTCATTATTTTCGAATCTATCAAGTGATATTTTACCTATCATTTTTCATGACTTTTATTCACCTCAGATGTGAATCGTTCCGTATATTTCGATTCATCCTTGTCATATAAACATTTTGGTTTTTTCGTTTATACAAACCGTTGGTAATAAAGACTTTAAATGTGTCTCCTAGTCCTTATGGCCAGCGAAAGTCTAATCAGTCTGCTGTACCTAGGGATACTTTCTTACCATAGCTACTTTACTCAAGAATATTTGATCCAGGGGAACCCTCAAGGCATGCTTTGCATCTTAACTTGACTTGTTTCAGATCTTCCACTGGACGAAATTCTCGATAGTTATGAGAAACTGGATTCAGAATAACTCTTAATACATGTACTTTTCGTTTCCTTTAAAAAAGTGAGTGCCATAGTGCCTTGTCTTAGTGTTTGGCTTTACGCTCTGACGATTTCTATCATGTTAGAATACATTAGATTCCACCATTGATTTTCGAGGTCGAAGGAAGGTGCATCAAGGTCTTGTTTACACAAATCTCATCATACT